GTTAGTGCGCTTGCGTGCGAAATATATAAACGATACGATTAGACGACGAACGCGTTCGTAATTAGACTGATTAGACATTTTCTCTCTCTCTCTCTCTCTCTCTCTCTCTCCCTCTCTCTCTCTCCCCCCTCTTTCTTTCTCCCTCTTTTTCTTTTTCTCTCCTTATCGCTTCAGTCGTTTCAGTCTACCAACACGCGTATCGCCATATAATAACCTCTTTTACGTATACAAACTTTAGTTTTGTTTAGTTGCTCGTTTAGACAAATAATATAGGAAATATTTCCCTTTTTCTTTATTCCTTTCTTTCTTTTTTTATTTATTTATTTATTTGTTTGTTTGTTTGTTTATTTATTTTCACTTTTTTTTTCTTTCTGATTGCAGATTTAATTACGAAGGAACGCAATGGCAGCGACTGGTCGAAGACTCGAATGAAAAAGAAGGATATTTTGAAGAAGATGAATAGAGAAAACAAAACAAGAACGAAAAAATGAAGACTCTCTCTTTCTCTGTCTGTCTCTCTCTCTTTTTCTCTCTCTCTCTTTCTCTTACGAAATTGAAGATCAGAAAAAGCACGATGGATAGTCGTGTGGAAATTATTTGAGAAAAACAAGGAAAACGTGATTCTCATTTATAAAAACACTCGCGATTACCTATCGAACGAGATCGGATCGATAGGGGGGAGTGTGGCAATAAAAAAAGAAAAGGGTTGGAGGTTGGAGGGAAAATTTTCTTCGTGAAAATTGTCCAGTTCGTGTCAAAATTTCAAACTTAATTAGATCGTAGAGACTTCATGTCGTCTGAAACGATGTCTGCGAACGTTGATGGATTATAACACGCATAAAGATACTTTGAGATACGTTCGATGCTGTAAATGAAAGTGGATTATTACGAAGATGAGTAATATTCGCGATAACGAACGAACGACTTTAGTATCGATCAATCGATCGTTCGATGATTCTATGATTAGTTGAATCGATATTATTCATTTAGAAATTCATTCGTTATGATTCCATTCACGATTCTCTCTTTCTCTCTTTATTATTATTATTATTATTATTATTAATATTGTTAATGTTTTTTTTGACACCCGTACAGTTATCGTCGGTATTATTATCTTCTTATTTTTAACGATATCTCTTTCTCTCTTTCTCTCTCTCTCTCTCTCTCTCTCTCTCTCTCTCTCTCTCTCGAATTTATTTTTGGTTAGAGTTTTAATTATAATATCAATCATATACAAGTGAAATTTATAGTACATATTTTTACATTGATATAGTTATATTCAATATAGTACAATTAATAATATACAAATAATATACTAGTTACACTATAATAAATACGAAATTGATATATAAATATAAAATATATATATATATATTTATTTATTTATTTATTTGTTTATTTATTTGGTGTGAATGCGTTGATGGCCCACGATCAATACTCTTCTTCTTTTTCTTCTTCTTGAACTTTTTGTTTCTTTTTTATTAAAATTATATAGCATTTCTCAATTTTCATTAATCATCATCGATTCTAACCTAACTTTTTTTCGACGAATTGTCCCATATGAAACCAATGAGAATAAGTTTCGTCTGTAAGATTGTCTAAAAAAAAAGAAATAAACGAAAGGTCAGAGTAGTAACGGTCGTAACGAGAATGCATCAATTCATCCGATCCGATCCGATCCGGTTCGATCCGTTTATCATCCGTCCATTCGTCCATTCGTCAGTCAGTCCTCTTTCTACGTAAAAATCAGAATCAGAATACTTGGAATATTCAACATACATATGGAGAGCTAAAAGTTATTAGATGATTTTGAAAAATCAATTATTCTTTTCGAGACACTTTTTTAAAGAACCTAGGCTTGTTGTTTTACAATATGAAAAAAAAAGAATCAATAAATATATAAATATATAAATATAAAAAACAGAAAAAAATAATAATTAATCTCGAGAAGGAATAAAGGATTTTGAAAAATTGTATAGTAATTTTTGACATCATCGGATCCTCTACGATGATATATATAGGGTGTTGTTTCGTTGACGAATTTCGTAGGCTGCTTTTCTTTTAATTCCTTTACATATATATATGTATATATATATATATATGTGTGTGTAAAGAAATTAGATCATTTTTTTTTCAATATTTTCCCTTTAGAAATCATTGGAGGTGGTGGTGGTGGCGGCGACGGTGGAAAAATTACAGCACACAAGGAATACTAGAAGAAGAAGATAGAACAATGTTACGAGTAATGATAGTAGTAGCATTAGTGTCGATGATGATGACGATGACAATGGTCATTAATACGTGACACATAGTGCCGGCTCTCGCGTGTGGGTGTGCCCGTGGGTTAAAGTGTGCAGTGTATCAGTGAGGAGAGCATATATATATATATATAAAAGAATATATATATATATATATATATATATATATATATATATATATAAAAAGGAAAGGCAGAGAAGAAAAAAAAAAAGGAGAGTGTGAATGGACTTATTACTAGTGA